GCATGCACCGGGGCGGGCTGGCGGTCGGTCAGGCAGCAAAGCATCGGGTGGGCGGACGGGCGGACAGGCAGGCATGCACGCAAGCACCAGGGCAGGCGGTCGGGCTGGCAGGCGGGCACGCATGCACCGGGGCGGGCGGTTGGGCTGGCTGGCAGGCATGTGCTCACTGGGGCCGGCGGTCGGACAGGTAGAAGGGCATCGGGCGGGCGGACAGGTGTACCGGCGGATGGGCGGACAGGAAGGCACGCATGCACGCACCTGGGCAGGCGGTTGAGCTTGCAGGCAGGCACGCGTGCACTGGGGCGGGCGGTCGAGCAGGCTGCAAGGCATCGGGCGGGCGGACGGGCGGACAGGCGGATGGGCAGACAGACAGGCAGGCACGTACGCACCGGGGCGGGCAGGCGGGCAGGTAGCAAGGCGTAGTGTGGGCGGACGGGAGGAAGAAGGGGCGGGTGGGCAGATGGACGGACGGGCACACGGACAGGCGTACGTACGGATGGGCAGACGGACGGGCGGGTGGACGGACTGGCGGGTGGACGGACGGACAGATGGACGGGCGGGCAGACGGACGGGTGGGCAGACGGTTGGACGGCCAGACAGATGGGTGGGAAGACAGACGGGCGGATGGACGGGCAGACAGACAGGCGGACGGACGGGCAGACAGACGGGCGGACGAATGGACAGACGGATGGACGGGCAGATGGACGGGCAGATGGACGGACGGGCAGATGGACGGACAGACAGACGGACGTCATCTAGCGACTTCTAGCGACTTTTAGGACAGCCAATTGGGATTTTTCTTGCTCAGGAGTTGGCAACACTGCATGATCGTCTGCTGACCTTCAGCCTCGGGTGGGGAGAGGAGCTGACTGCTGCTGCTCCGTGGTCACTCTCCATGTTGCATCTATTATGCTAATGCTAGCTGTCACGTTCTGTCGTCATGGCAACACACCCTTCCCCACCCACACCCCCTCCCCTACTCACTTTGATGCATTTTTCAAATTTCGCCTTGGGGTGGAGTTTTCTTTTCACAGGGGGGTAAGATACATTTTAAGGTCATGTTTCACTTCASAAAGGTAATCTATCATTCCAACACAACCTTTCATTGCTTATTAAACCAAGAGAACCTTCTTGAATTTGCTCTTATATTTTTCATCACGTTGTGGCATGGTGTGGAACTTCATGGCATCTTGAAACACGTTGGTCCCTCTTCCAAGATATTTTACTACACGTTTGTCAGCAACTAATAACTCGTTGTTATATATGTTATAACATGCAGCGGAGATTGGCAAGTTGTCATCGGTATTTACAWAAAAGCTTTGTTTACAATCGAAAGTAATATCATCCCAGACACGAATGTTTCTGTYGGTAGAAATGGTGACAAAGACCTTTTCTATATGATTGAAAATAACATGTGTGATGGGATATGTATGTTCAGATATTGTGTGTTGTGAGATTATACTTCCATTAAGTGGCCACACTTCTAAAACCCCATCTTTGCCACCAGAGACTAGAGTCTTGCTGCAAGGAGAATAAGCAACACAGGAAATTAACCTGTATTTTTCAGTGCTTCCAATTCTAATTGTACTTGTCTTGAGGGTGCTGTCTTCGTAGGTCAATTTGATTAAGGTAATGACTTCTGATAACTCGCAGCAGACAGCCAAAGAATCAATTTCGGGAAAGTATTTAATATATGAGCACGTGCTGTCAAAAACTGSGATCGTTTCACAAACAAAATTTTGATCAGCGATCTTAAATAGAGATGAAAAACTTGCAAGTGAATATTGTTTTGTAAAAGTCGAAACAAATGTATTCGGATTGATAAGGTCAGTTTTATCTATAATTTTGGTCATAATTACATACACACATCCTTTCGTTCCTAAAGCAAGCATTGCTTTTACCTCACTGGACCAACAGTCCATGGCAGTAACATCTACATCTATAAGACTATATTTTATATGGAGTTTTCCCTCAAATTTCCACTCATAGAACAAAACCTGTCTTCCAGATGTGGACACAACCAATTCACTTAGATGTTTAATAAACACCATGTCACGTACACGTAAAGAACTTTCGTGGTGAGTCTTGTATGATTTCAGCGCTGGGTTATCAAGCCAAATAGCATTTGATATTTTTAAATCCTTAGTAAAAAACACAAGTTGTCCATCCACAGTCGCACAGACATATTGACAGTCCTGGTAATGCCTGATTTTTTGGGGATTATAATGGTTTTGAAAAGGCTCTTGTGTCTCCCTCAAAGGTTTACTGAACATTTTTAAAATTTKTCGGCGAATCTTAACAGAAGGGAACTCCAAACTTAAAGAAAAAAAATTATTCTTCCACTTATTGTCTTTGGCCGCAAGTATGTTGCTGAAAAAGTTTAGAATTTCAWATAGGGTAACAGTTTCATCATCACTTGTATTGATTTTCATATGAAGAGCTTCAATGGCTGCAATGGGAATTGTTTCATCCAGTTCATGGATGAAACGTGTGAATTCTGATACATCCAGACCATTTTGGTCATCAAACTCATTGAAAATTCTAATACATTCTTCTGTTTTGTCCATAAAGATTTGTGCCAGTTGCCTGCAATCTTCAAAAATATCCTCCTCCTCTGCGTTCATTTCATTTTCAGGAACCTCAGTCATTTTCATTGAATTTTACAAACAAAAATAGCATTGATCTGAACAGAAATGATCTCTGGTTGAAGACCGAAAGAACTGTCTTCAATCTGTTACAAAGTCAGAACTGATTACGTCAGGAGTCGTGTCGTCACTAAAAGGAGACATTCACTCGTGACGTCACGCATATCATTTGCGTACATTATCTGCCACGCTCGCAAATGATCGGAACAATCGGACTGGATTCTACTGAGATTCAGTGTTAAAACCGTAACAGATAAAGACTTTTCTTGAGCAAATTCCGAGACATCCGACTTCAGGAATCACAAGAAAGTTAAGTTGAAATGTTGTCTGGAGGGTCGAGGTCTTCGACAGACTTGGAAAGCGAGTGGAGTTTTTAAAAAAAGTTTGGTGTTTTTTTTTTTTTTTTTTTACCCTGTCTTACTTATCTTAGCTTGTATTTATCGTGTGTCTGTGTGAGTATATTTTTTTTTATCACTCGAGTCACCACTTCGGCATCGTTTCAAGAAACTTAATGGTGTTTGTGTACATAAAACACTATCACTATATGCGGGACAGACTGCAGTAGAGCGCTGTGTATTGCCGAGGTTAGCATGGATGCTAGGAGTAAAGCTAGCAGAAGCAGGAGGCTACAGTAAAAACAGTCAGGTTTAATGTACCTGTTGATCAACAGAAAGGGCAGGGAGAGGATCCGGGTGGTCCAGTGTTGGTCTTTTACCTCTGATTAAATGTGGAGCAGAGTCCATGAGACTTTGTACGAGCATCAGTGTCGGGCGGACAGATTCACGACGTGACTTGCGTTCCGTCACTCACAGCCGCACCATACTTTCTCCATCAAACGCTGACTCATTAGGGGAAAAAAGGGCGAATCTGCGAGTGTGAAATGACTTCACAAAACCCGAGGTGACATTTCATTTCTTAGGCAATATGAAGGATTTTCATAAAGCAATGAACATAGATGTTCACTGTAGACTGGTGGAGAAAGTACTCAACTGTACTTAAGTAAAAGTACAGATAAACAGACAGGAATGTACTCTAGTAAAAGTAAAAGTACCACATTAACATTTTACTTGAGTAAAAGTAAGTACTTGCTTTTAAAAATACTTAAAGTATCCTTTAAAAAAACTTAAAGTATTAAAAGTAAAAGTACTTGCTTAATGTATTCCCTAATGGTCTACAATATCATGAAGTGTGCCTACTGTATGTATATTTTTAATACATCAGTGGTGCCATTTTAGTGAACAATGCTGCAGAAAATGCACATTTTTGTTTACCCTCTGTGACACCGTTCACACTTTGTGATTCTGTGCATCATCACAGATTGTGACAACAGCTGCAGAAGTTGTAAATTCACCACCAACCTCCTCTATTAAATCTCATTTTTTTAACCAGTTAACTTGAATAAGTCTTTTAAATAAGGCCATTAATGGCACATTTCCTCCATGGTGGATGGAAACCATTGTGGGCATGCTGATGCTCTGCTTTTTTATGAAGGAGGGTCTAATGGTACTTTTCTGCTTTGCAGTGGTTTAATGCAGTATTTCCCAAAGTTGGGTCCCGAAACATCAAGGTGGGGTCCTGAAAAGATTTTCTGAATTAATTACATTTTTGCCTTAGTTGTTACAAATGAGTGAGGTTAGTATGTTTAAAATGGATAAATGTAGTATAAAAATATTGTTACTATGCCCATGTTTTGTTGACCTGATTCAAATGTTTATCATCCAAAACTAGCTGGGGGCTCAGGTCTCTGCTACTGTTATTTTGTGGGTCAAAAGCTGAACAGTTTGGGAACCACTGAACTTTGGTTCCCAAAGTTGGGCTTGGGACCCAATTATGGGTCATGAAGCACCTTGGATAATCTCCAGAAATCAATTTAAGGGATAATAAATAATTGCTGATGTAATATTTTCCCTATAATTATTACAAAAACACAAAATAAGTAAAAATAAGTATTTATATTTGTGTACAAGCTGTTTAGATAGTCAAAAAACCTGTGTTTTTAGGGTTAAAAACGAAGTTCATGTACTCAGACCAGTAATATTTGGGGTCACAAGTTTTTGCCATGCATATTTTGTGGGTCAGAAGACAAAAAGTTTGGGAACCACTGGTTTAATGGACCAATTACAGCAATTCCCCCTTTCGCCACTGATTACTTTTAAACTAAAAAAACAAAAAACAAATAAACCACATAAATAAATAAATAATTAAATAAATAAATAAATAAATAATGTGCCATGACATGAATGTAATTTGTAATTCAACATATTACAGAAATGTAGTGGAGTAGAAAGTACAGATACTTAATGTAAAAATGTAGTGGAGTAAAAGTCAAAAGTACCCATGGTGAAATCTACTTAAGTAAAGTACAGATACATGAAAAATGTACTTAAGTACAGCAAGAAAGTACTTGTACTTACTTAGTTACATCCCACCACTGACTGTAGATGGTTCTTTGAGCAACCTCAGTTTGGAGACACAAATCCTCTAATGTGTGTGAATGGCGCCACCTGGTGGATTTAACAATCAGATGCAGCTCACAGAAAACTGATGTACAGAAAAAAAGGCGTTTCTTGCACTTGTTGCACTCCACGGGTTCACTTAACATGAGCGGGTTTACTCAAAATGAATCCAGCCATACATACAATTCTCTTCAGTTTTGAATTATCATTTATTATTTTGTGTTCTTGCTAAATTGAAAGGTTTGTTACTTTAACCCTTTAGATTTGACGTCAGCCTTTTCAAAGACGTTCTAATTTGTTGGTCCTCTCTTTTTGTTTTTCTCCCTCACACTGCCTCAGTAACAGTGACACAATAAGCACTTTAAATTCACATTTTCTGTCATTTTTTCTGTAAAAAAAAAAAATAAATGTGTTTGTTTCTATATCACGTGACAGCGTCTCTATTTGGTTAAAATCAGGCATCTGTGTGAGTTCTCTCTGTAAAAACAACTGCTCTGATGTGGCTTTTTCACCAGAGTTCTCTTGGATTTACTATGTAGCCAGATAGCAATGATAAAGCTTAATGTAAGGGGGAACGAACAGGTACCAATAGGCGTAAAGTTGAGACCTTGATCGATCATGACAAAAATCCTAAATATTTTCATCCTTTTAAGTCACTGGAACCATTACAATTGATTCATTGCAGCTTGAGTTTAATTCATTTTCAGATCTCATCCTCATCCAACATTTTGCATCTGAACTCTCATTTCATTACAAAATAGAAAACAAAGAACAGGAGAAAGAGCGTTGCTTTTGAAGGCTTTTATTTCTTTATAGAGGAGACACAGCAACTCATTGGAACGGAGGCTGGATCTCCTCCCCAGGGGTTTGGGGGCTGCTGGGTTTTAGTGGTACTGCCGGCCCAGAGCGGACACCACCACGGCCAGGAACTTCTGAAAGGTGGCCTGGATCTCTGGGGTGAATGCGTTGCCCAGCTTGGCGGCGATGACGATGGTCAGGCAGTCAGCCAGGAGCTGGATGAAGAGAAATGGTTCGTGTTAGGTTGGCTCTTTTGTGAGCGTCAGATTCCTTTTCGCTCCCGTCGCAAGCCCGTTGAAGGCATTTTCTTTCGGGACGACTGAATTTCTGTCCATACCTTGAAGTTGTCTGGGTCGACGTGCAGCTTCTCGGAGTGCAGCACGCTCAGCTCGGCGTAGGTGGCCTTGATGTTGTCCAGGTTCTTCACGGCGCGGTCCAGGCCGTGCAGCACCTTGGTGCCATGGGTGGCAATGTTGGGGTTGGTCTTGATGGCGTCGGCGTTGTAGAGGTTTCCGAAGCTGGCGAAATACCTCTGAGTCCAGGGGTAAACGATCAGGCACCTGGAAGTGAAGACAGAGAGTTGATGAATAATGAGGATGAAGGAGCTATGTGTGTGTCGCCTCCTCCGCCCCCCTCGTTACCTGGCCAGAGCCTTGGGGCCGATGTCGTCATAGTCCAAGTTGGAGAAGATGTTGTTGATGATGCTGCGCTCCTGCTCGGTCCACTCAACCATCTTGTTTTGTTCTCTTTTGTTCAGGCTTGAGAGAAAATGCCGAATGGTTCCTGGTGAGGACCTCCAGGTCTATTTAAACATCTCAAATCTCCCCCACGCCCTGAGGGAGAACGCTGTTGATAGGTTGGAGATGCAGGACTTCAGATAAGCGGCACAACACTCCAGAACTTACCAGAACGAGCGAGAACGTCTCACCTGAAAACGAGTTTGATTTCACACACTCAAAGTGAATTTTGCACATTTATTGGAGGAAATTTGATGAGAAGTTTCACTTATTTTTGTACAACTTTCGGTCTTTTAAATGAATTCTGGGCAACTTTTGCAGATTTTTAATTGTGCTATCTTTTATTTGTTTAAGTTTTTAAAGATCCGTTTAGATTATTTTCAGAAAAAAGTTAAGAACAAAATCCTTTGCTTTAATTATAAATTGAAATGATAATTTGTAAAAGTAACTGTGATTTAACGAGAAGCGGTCTCTAAATGGCCTCTTAAATTATAAAATTCCATGATATATATTGTAGTAGATTGTGGTTTATTAGAATTAAACATAAATCTTTTTAGTTTGCAAACTTTTAGAGTTTAGAGATAAATGGTAATAGGTAAATTATATTTCAGGGACAAAGAGCAAAAAACAAAGCAACAGTTTTAAGTATCTTTATTTTTGTTTATTTTGAATTCATTGTAAAAAGTCTAAAAGTCATTTAAAGGCACACAAAAAGAAAACCCTTTTTTTATAAGTAAGCATATTTTGAAGTTGATTTGTTTTTTCCTCTCTTCAAGCAGTTTGAGTTTTGTTTTGTCACAGTTGGTGTTATCTGTTGGAGGCAGTCGGGTGTTATCTGCAGCTGCAGCCTCCTCCACCCAGAACCCCTCTGAGCCCAAATCCAGGGGCGTCTTGCTGGAGGAAAGAACTTGAGCTCGCTGATAAGACCACCTGCGCTGTTGTCTCTTCTTGATAGCAAATAAATTCATGATATGAGAAAAAAAATGTGCAATTAAAAAATGCAATCACAAATAAATCTTAGAAGGATTTCAGATTTTTTTAAATTGGGGGAAATGATTAATTGAAAATAGCTGTTGTCTGTTTTGTTTTTAGGAAATACATTAAGAAGCATTTGTAAATTAATCAACCTAAAATCATTTGGAAAAGGTACCAAAAATGCTATTTTTTTAACTAGGGTGAACTGGAATAACAACAAAATATGTATATACTGTATATGTATATACAGCGGGTAAAATAAGTATTGAACACGTCAACATTTTTCTCAGTAAATATATTACTAGAGGTGCTAATGACATGAAATTTTCACCAG